TGAAATTTTAGCTTAGGAAAGGGAACACCTACAGCTGGAATAGCATTTCCTCGGAGCGTGCAGTCTGTGGAAAAAGGGTAATGTAAGTCAGCGGAGGAGTTCAGATGTCTTCGGGATTCAGTCATGTCCCATTTAATTTTAATTGCCTTTGAACAAAAGGCATTTCCTCTTCTAGCTCAGCATTTACGGGCTCTGGAAAGGGCTTTTGCTGACTCAAATCCTTGACAGTTCTCATTTTCCAGCCTTTGTTCCTACCTTCTGGTGGCTAGCTGGCTGTTCTTATTAGCAAAATAGCCTTTTTTTTTTTTTTTGCCCCAGCCTGTGGAAATGTGGGAATTTATCTGTGAGATGCACAGAACAGTTTCTCTGTTGTGCAGTAAGCGCAGGATTCAATCACCAGACTGTGGGGCACTGAACCTCCTGCTTTAAAAGAAAAGAACACACTACAGGGAATCTCAGCAAGGTAAAGGGTGCAGTGGCAGCCTGGGAATGAAGTGGCAGCCCTGAAGCACCAGGAACGTGAGGAGCAGTGTTTTTCCTTTGACCCAGTTAGGATGTACAACCCAGCAGCTCTGTCTCCTGTGCGTGGCCCGGTGTCTAATTAATGAAAATTGCTTGAGAGTTTTAATTCGGTCCCTTCTCTAAGGAGACAGACTAGCAATCCTGACTGAGAATTCCCAGTGTTTTAAATGGGAATTATCCTAAGGATAATGGCCTAATTAGGATACCAGTTTTAGAACCTCATCCTGTGGGTGCGTGGCTAAGTAGGTGAAGTTGGCTGCTGCTGAAAGCCACCCCGTGGCTGCTGGCTGTAGGATGTGGGGTAGCAGTGGGCTGGATATCACTTGGCACGTTCCTGGGATATAGTATTTGTATATTAGGATCATTTGTAGTGCAAGAATTGAATCATCTGTGTTCATCCTACTGGTACCATACATTGTTTTTTGGTCAAATTCCTCAGTAACTGGCCTGAAAAAAAAAAAGAAAAGCAGTTCTTTGAAGCCATTGAGAACATTTTCCTCCTGAAGTTACTCACTGAATGTGTGAGTCCTTTAAAACCAGCGGCCTCTGCTACCAGGAGAGAGGAACTGGCTACTGAGCTTTTGCTCTGTTAATTCTCAGCCCAAGTGTGAGCCTCACTGGGAGCAGGTAAAATTTAGCTCACTTAATTAAGTGCATTTATTTGAGGAATTCTCAGTGGCACTTAGTGCTAGCATCAGAGCCACCCAATCTTAGAGGTTTTAAAATGGAATTGTCAGTAATATCAGTCTACTATTGCTTTCAGCAGCTCTCCCAGCAGGAGAGGAGCTTGGGAATAACTGCTTCTGTGCTATCTTTAACATGGTGGAATCCACTGGCTTAGGCTTGGGCCTTGGTCCCGTTGGGAGCAGCACGTGACCCCACAGTTTGACCTGGCCCCTCTCCTCTTAACAGCCTGGAAATGGGACACCGAGGATCCTGATTGCTCCCACGGCAAAGATAAACTCCTGTGACAGCTTTGGTTTACAGTGGGGTGACAGCACTTGAAGGTGTTGCCTCGGCCAAGGGTTGTGCCACTGAGCTTCTCTAGTGTTACCAGCAGCGGGGGTTGGCTGGGGTTGTGCCTTTTCTTTTGCACCGAAGTGCAGGATGTAGGTAACATTTGTGTAGTGTTTTTTTTTTAATAATTAGCTTCTCTGTTGTTTTTCATCTCTGTCAGTCAGAGGAAAGGCAAGAGCAAGTTGCTGGGTAAGGGGATTTATACAGGGAGAAGTTGCTAATATGGATTAATTTATCAGCGGCGTGTGACATCCACTGGATTTTTTTCTCTGTTAGTATTTCCTGAGTCATCTGTATGCAAATTGTGGTTGTAACCAAGCCTGGCATTAAATTTTCAAAATCTTAATGGGGGTCCTGACACAGGAGCGAGCAGTTCTGTGCCAGGTGTGCAGTGGAGCTGTGTGGCATTCCTTACAGGGGAATTCGGGAGGGTCGCTGCCTCTCCTGGGGCTGTGGAGCAAACCTGAGCCCCAGGGAACTCCCCACAGAAATGTCAGTGAATATTTCAGGGGGTTCAATCTAAGTTTTATAATAACAAGTAATAGAAAGAAATCCTTCCCTGTGAGGGTGGGGAGGCCCTGGCACAGGTTGTCCAGAGAAGCTGTGGCTGCCCCAGCCCTGGCAGTGTCCAAGGCAAGGTTGGACGGGACTTGGAGCAACCTGGGCTAGTGGGAGGTGTCCCTGCCCATGGCAGGGGGTGGGAACCAGATGATCCTTAAGGTCATTTCCAACCCAAACTATTCTGTGATTCCACGGTAAGAGAGGAGCAGTGACATGTGCCTTACGTTTTCCTGTGTTGATAGTTCAAACCGGAATCCTAGGTTGGAAATTTTGGAAGGGGAGGTGTGAGGCAGTGGTTCCTTGAGTCTTCAGGCTCGTTTTGTGCTCTTATTCTAATTTAAGCTTGGTTTTGGTTGTTTCTCCTGGCAGAATTCCGAAAAAGCAGGCCGAGGCCCTATGGTTTAGTGATTCCCATTAGTACCAATGCAGATGGAAGCTACATCTCCAACATCCTCTCTGCGAGTCACCAGAGGCGAGCGCCGCGGGAGGTGTCCCCGAGCCCCAGACAGCTCTACTTCAACGTCACCGCCTTCGGGAGGGAATTCCACCTGCGGCTGAAGCCCAACACTCGCTTGCTGGCTCCCGAGGCCGTGGTGGAGTGGTACGAAGACTCTGTGCAGACTGGGAGCCATGGTGCTAACACGAGCCGGACTGGCGCTGCTACAGAGCGACTGTGGAAGAGGGAGCCCCTGTGGACCAACTGCGCCTACGTGGGGGACATCACGGACATCCCCGGAGCTGCGGTGGCCATCAGCAACTGCGACGGGCTGGTAAGGCTGGTGTTGTGGCTCCTGCGTCTGGTGGTCACTGCTTGGTGCGCAGCTTGTGTTGCTTTTAACTACACCTGGCTAACGATGTCATTTACAGACCTTAAATCCCTTAGGAAACACTGATGGGGACAATCCTAGTGCTTTACTTTGGGATAATTCCTCTAAGGCTGACGAGCAAAGCCCTTCATGTCACTGGTGTGAGAGAGAGAAAACCTGTGTCTTGTTGGGTGTCGTTTTTACTTTCACGAGGTGTTACAAAACGGAAAATTAATAAGACATTTTTAAAGGTAAAAGGCAACCTTTTGATGACTGAATTTAGAATCTGGCATCCAAAACATCCCTCTGTAGCATTCTCAGGTAGCAAAATTCACAGGTTGCCCTGTAGTCCAAAAATAGCAGCTTTAAGTTTTGAAGGGTTTATTTCTAAAGTGACACACTTTTTGTTCTTTTAGATGCAGTTTTGTTCCATCAGGAGGTGTCACATGAGAACTGAGTGGTTCTCATCTGTTAAGGGTTCGTTCTCAGTCTGTTTGAAAGCACGTGGGATTTCGTTGTGGCTCAGCAGATGCCCAAATCCCAGAGGCAAAGGCTGGGCATATATGGCTCCCACATACCATTCCCGGATTCAGTCCCGTGGTAAAAAAAGCCAGCAATACGGCGAGGGGGCAGTGGTGGAACACACCAGCAACATCCAGGGAGATGAATGTCCTGTTCAGGACAGCAGTCACGTGGAAAGGTCTGTACCAAGCACCCCTTCTTGGCAGTGGGATTCCCTCTTCCCCTCACGTGCCACGTGGTCATGATTTGATTCCAGTTTACCACAAGCCCTGGCTAGGAAGGCTCCCACCTTGGCAGCGGGCTGCACTCACTGGGGGAGTAATGCAGAAATGGCTCCAAATGCCCACTCACACTGCCATTCCTGGACTTCCCTTGCTTAAAGCAAGGAAATACTGGTGGTGGTTTGACCAGAGGTGACAAGCTATGTCAACTTGGTGTGTTGTGGAGGGCCCTTGCTGGAGATTTTAGGAGAATCTGTGGGCAGTGTGCTATGTTTATGAAGGCCAAGCAGACATCTGCCTGGCTAGATGTATATGTAGCTTCTGATAGAATCCTTCCAGTGAATGAGACCCTGGACTGGGAGCTGGATTTTAGCAGTAATCCTGAATGGAGTTGTTGTGTGGAGACAGCACGTGAAGACAAGAAATTGGATTAAATGGAATTAGCCTGAGGAGTGCAGCAGCTCCGGCAGAGATTGCCATGTGGCTGGCAAACTGCTCCTGCTGTGTTTGCAGTTCAGTGAAGCCAGAAGAGGCTTTTTGGTGGGGGAAAGGCTTCCCACTGACAGAGGGCAGGGTTAGGTGGGATACTGGGAGGAAATTCTTGGCTGAGGGTGGGGAGGCCCTGGCCCACGTTGCCCAGAGCAGCTGTGGCCCCTCCATCCCTGGGAGCATTCAGGGCCAGATTGGATGAGACTTGGAGCCACCTGGGATAGGGGAAGGTGTCTGTTTTTTCTCACAGCACCCAGGAGAAGCACTTCATGAACTTTCCATGGTTTTAGGGACTGGACTAGGAGAACATGGGCTTTTTGTTTGAGGAGAGGGGTAGATAAATGCTCCTGGGTCACTCTTGTCTCTGTTCATCACCTTAGCTGTTGTAACATCTCTTGGAGTGTGACATAAATAATCCTGAAGATTTAGGTAATGTTGTTTTCCTCCTGGCATCTCCAAAGGTAGCAAAAGGAACTTGCAGTTACCATTGCTGGCCTCTCTGTTGCTGTACTGTGTGTCTCTCACCCAGCTAGAATATATAATCCTCAGTGTTTCCCAAAGATGTGGCGGGTGAGATAATGTGGCTCAACAGAAACTGTAACAAGAGTGAGAAATTCTAAGGCCGTGTGTATGTCTGTTGGAGAGATTTATTTTTGACTTCAAAGGAATTTAGACACTCTCCAGAGTAGCCAGCTGGGTTCTGAGCTCTTGGGAGAAAGTGAAGGGAATCACTGGAGTAGCAATTTGCACAATGTGTTGCTTATGAAAGAAGCTTGATATCATAAGTAACAGAAAAAGAGCACTTGGGTGCTAAATTTTGATTGCTTGATTGCAAATACATGGAATAATTGGCATTTGCATTAGTAAAGCAAGATTCTGCCCAGTCTCTTCTTCAGTCTAAACTTACATTTAAAACCCCAAATATTTGGACACTTTGTTTTGAAATAGTTTGCATATCTACTTCTGCAGTGAAAGTTGTCTGTGTGCCATCACTCTTGCAAATTCCTATCTTCACATCTGCTTAATCTCCCTTGGAAAATAATCCTGTTTATTTAAAAAGCCCACATGCATGTGCCTGCACTTGTCATGGCAGAAGAACACTTCATCAGTCGGGGAGGAGCTGCCTCGTCTTCTTCACTGGCTGTTGGGAAGCTGGGCCTTCCACAGGTTTCTGCTGGATATTTCTGCTGGTTTTTTTGCCAAAGTAGTGATATTTATTGTCAGAATCCTTGGGGAGTGGAAGGTGCCAGCCTCAAAAAACCACCACAAATGGTTCACATTGTAAATGAAGACAAGTCAGCAAGCCTAGCATGGACAAAGAATGGTTTAAGCCACTTTTCTGCCTGGTGTTATAGAGAAAATGAGCTCAGATTCTCTGTTAGCTTCCTGAGCAGGTGTTGGTGTGTGGTGCCTTTAGCTTGTACTTGCACTCTGATGTTTTTGTAGACATGTGCCTCTGTGTTTGAGCTGGGATCTGGTTTGTGTTCACATTCATGCAATGCCAAGTGGGAATGCTGCTTTCTGTTTCTCCTAGAGCATTAACCTTGCTCGTCTGAAATCAAAGGGCCAGGCCCAGGGCAATGAACCTGTAATCTTTGACTTCAGATTCCTAGTAAAATGAGGCTTTGTTTGTTTGTTTGTTTATTGGAAACTGTTAGAGGTTGTTTTGTTTCTTGGGGTTCCGTGGCCTTCAGGCCCAGTGCTGCGTGTTCTCATTTGGCAGTACAGCTGTTTGCAAGGGGAAGATGCTGGGGAGTCTGCCTGGCTTGGAGCGTTCAGCTGCCAAACCAGGGAAATCCTGGAACACAGACCAACCATCAGGAATTAAAAAAACCCAAATAAATCTGCTCAGATCTGTCACTTGTGACGGATTATTCCTCACTTGCTTATTGCCATCCCTTTTTTCTGAGGATGTGGAGATGTGAAGAAACGTGTGTGCGTGTTCACTGCTGCTTTCCTTTGGCAAATACAGGCTGGAGCGTCTCAGACTAGAGAAGCTTGCACAGCCTTGGTTCAGGAAAAGCTTTACAAATCTGCTGGAGTCGAGACGTGTGGGATCCAAGGAATCTCAGGGCGTTTTGATTTGTTTCAAATGCTTTTTTATTGCCCTTGTTCCATCAGGACTGGAGTGTTAAGGCTTATTTCTTGTTCCTGTGTTGGTTCTAAACGTATTATTTCGGCATGATTACCCCCGAGCTGGCAAGGCTAGAGTTCCTAAATGGGGAAACAGCTTTCTAGGAGCCACTGGTGTTTTCTCCCCGTGTACTGGAATAGCATTCTGGAGACAAACACTCGGACTGCTGCTGAGCATCTGGTTGTAGCACACAGGAGACTCTTGCTGAGCTATGGGTTGGGATTGGGATGGTCCCTTGGGTCTGGAGTCCTCTCCCAGTCCAGGCCGTGGTCTGTGGCCAACGGGACGTCTGGTAATCCTGGACCTCGTGGGAGGGCAAAGCACAGGCAAGCAGGATAAAGCCTGGGGAGATGGGGGCGGCTCGGTGCCACCCTGGGCAGATGGCAGCAGCGTCTTAGGCTGCTTTAGCGCTCTGATATCCCTGCCCCCCTGCCCTACTGCGCTCTTCCCACAGTGAGTGCCTCCCCGTGACCTGCCGTGCCCTGCCGTGCCTGCTCTCACCGCTGGCGTTCGGCTGCGCTTGGCAGGGCTCGGGGAGCGGCATTGATGGGCTGCAGCTGCACTCCATCCCCGTCACCTCTGCTCTGGGGCACTTCCCACGGGCTCAGACGGACTCCTCAGTCCTAGCAATCCATAGCAAAGAGGATTTCTCAAAGGGCAGGAGCTCCAGAAACTTGGGGAAATGCTCATTCAGGACCTGGGGATTCCTGTGTAAAACACAGAGGGGAGAAGCACTGATTGAGAAGGGAGGCTATGGGGATTGAAGTCAAGTATCAGTATAATGTAAAATAATATAATACAGAACTTTTTTATATGTCTGTTTACTTGTCCTTGGAGTTGTCACTCAAAGCAAATGGGCGCTTAATCCTTACTTCTTGGAGTGCAGTCCAGGTTGATGCAGATGGTTGCTCAAGCTCCATTTATCTCTTCTTGTTTGTTTTTGTAAGCTTTTCTAACAGGGCCAGATTTGGTCTAATGATAGATTTGCCTCACTTCCAAGCCCTTGTGTCTCCTCCTCTCCTCCCGCCTTGCATTTCTCCCGTTCTCATTTACAATTAAGAGGAGCAAGTGGTGATGCTCTGAGTTTCCATGTGGTTGTATCCTTTTTGTTGTGAAGGCTGATGGAACCGCTGAGTTCCTCCTCTGAAATGGTCATTTTTCTACAGGCTGCTATTCCCTCTCCCTTTATTCCAAATGGATCGTGGTCATAGGAAAAACTGGATAGATACACAAGTAGCTTATCTACTGCTGTTGACTTTCAGGTAGGCCAAAGTGGTGTAAAATACACCTCACAGCATGAAAATTTGCAGTCTGTTTGGGTAATAGGTTTTCCAAGAACATGGGCAAAGTTAAGAAGTTTGTTTTCCCCCCTCTGTTTGCCTTCCCCAAGTGTGATTCCTCTGGGGCTGAAGGGAAGAGCCAGAAGGGGCCTGGGAGCAGACTCCAGCGAGGGATTCAAGATCTACCTTTGAAGTCATCCAGCCTTCCCCCTCATTGCTTTGATTGCAGTAATTCCTTGCTTAAAAGCAGGGCTGGTGGTTCCCATCAGGCTGCTGGAGCCTGCAGGGAGCCTCCCAGGCCCTGGGCAGGGTTCGTGT